TACAGCTAGACCCCCAAGAGTGCTCTCAGATACATACAGACCTCAACTGCCTTACTTTGACTTCTGTAAGGTTCCTGGCACAGAGCATGTGATACATTAAAACTATTATTTTTTTTAAAAAAAGTAGTAAATTTAGTTCCCCTTCCTGAGGTCTCCCGTACAGTTGAAATCTTTGTCTCGGGTACACTTACTTAGAAAAAATCTCTGCCAGCCAATTCAAGGACAAGCCTGTATCCTGTGCTCACAATGGTGGTGACCAGCTGGGCCCACGCACCTCTGAGCATTTCCCCACGTAGCCCTGTGGCGCGTGAACTACCTCTGTAGAAGGAGCTACTCATTCATGGACACAGCCTATCTATAAGCATTTGTCATCTATCAAGATAAAAACATCAGGCAGTCTATGGTTTACGCACTCCCCCCAGGCGGCAGTAGTCAAACGCCAGCTGGACAGCTGAGAAAAACTTGCATGGTCTCCCATAAGCAAGGCCAAGGTCAAAACGCCCTGCTCACAAATAAAGTTCAAGACCCAGAGCCTTGGCCTGACTAGAACTTTTCCACATGCACTTTTTTCCTCCTCATAGTGTTACTCCTTCTCTGTGTATTAATTTTATGACCCAGTGTGCTGGCCAGATGCTGAGGTCCAAACTTACCCCTAACATACAGATTTTGCCAACCCTGAAAGGCCTGACCTCTTACAACATGGAGGGAACTAGCAGGACACACTCTCTAGCGTAGGCTTGTTTCTAAGGGAAGGGGCTGGGCTCTTCCACTTGCTGGTTTCGCTTTCAAAGTTTCTGTATTTGGCATAAGAAGCTTGGATGTTATTCATGGTAGTAAATTTTTAAAATTGGTTTGTTTTAAGCCTTACAAATAAGAACATGACCTTTCAGCTCTCAAGGTCCCCTCTAGTCCTGTAATTATGGGATTGCTTGCTCTTGTTTATTTGGGCACTCAAAACAGAATTTGAAATTCAAATACTAAAGGCTGTAAGTGGTTATTGTACTGAATAGTGATGGGTTTATTGTGGTGATTTTAAATTTGAATATGAAATCAGCATTTCAGGTCTTTCTCTGTAAAGAGATTCTACAATCCATCCCATTTGTCTTGACAGCCTTTGGAAATTTTATTTTTCTTTGTCTTCTTTTCTCACATACTTTTCCTTTGTTTTATTCTATTAATTTCCCCTTGACATTCTTACCTCTCAGGTACTGACCATGTTCCCTGAATGCTTGCCTTCTCCACTGCTTATTCCACTGCTTGGCTTATTCCACTGTTTATCTTGATTTCTCTCTCAGTTTTTAACCTGAAAAAGTACATTAGGAATTGTTTTTTCTTAATTCTTGTTTTGAGCTGATCATCATTGCGGGGAGAGCAAGTCCATTTGTGGCAAATGTGCTTCTCTGCTGGAAAAGAAAGGTTTGGGATTGGACCAGAGAACCTTAAACTTTCTGTCGACAGCAATTTAAGAAAGTTGCTGACAGTGTTCAGTACTGAATATCCTCCATGGTGTCGCCGAAGGCATGTGGGCCTCTCGCACTCACAGCGCGGGTAGCTGTAATCCTCTTATTTCTTTTCTCTCCAAGTGAGAAAGCCTATTGCAGTGCAAATGACTGTCACACCATAGAGTGTACTAATCTAATTAATTTTTATGTTGGTTCTCTACAAGTTTTATTTTAACTGTTATTTGTAACTCATAATTTCCATATAGCTCAGCCGAATATATCCACTGGGCGAAATGATGTTTGATAATCACGTTTTGGTTATAACATTCCATTTTTCTAGAAATAGTGGTGCATCTTTGAGAGATAAAGTCAGTTGTACCAATGAAATCAGGCAATTTATTGCTTCACATAATTTTATTTTTTAACCTTATGCATATGTATTTTTATTAAGAATTTATTTTTAAGAGCAAGTTTTGGTTCTCAGCAAAACTGAGAGAAAAGTACAGAGATTTTCCATCTACCCCCTGCCCCTACACATGCATAGCCTCCAAACATACAGATATCACTTAGCCAACTCATTCCCAATAGCATCTTGAAGAGTCTTCAAAACCAAACAAAGACTATTTCACCAAATATTTGATGATTTTGTGTCTAATTTGATTACCCTTTAAATCCCTTTAGCTCAGCTTCACCTCACTGGCTTGTTTTCACAGCGTCTTTGTCCCTGTCGGCAGCTTAGTTCATCAGACTGAGTATTTTTTACATATGTTGGCCCACTGATAAGACACACCTGGGCGTACTTATGGTGGCCCTCATTGTGATCCCAGGGACCGGGCGCCTGGCACAGCGCCTGGACCACTGCAGGCATTCATAGATACTGGCTGACTGACTCATCAAGTGTTTTAGGTGAGAAACACCTTTGGACATGTTCCTGAATTAAATGTATCCCTCAGAGCTGCAGGCCCAAAGCCCTTTCCTTCCTGTGTGAGAGCACGTGCTCTCTGTGGGCAGGCTGGCTCCCAAGATGAAGAGGGGAGAGAATGGGGGAGAGAAAGGACCTGGACTACACTTCTTTATTTAACTAACTCCGAGATTTGCCCATTTGAGAAGTCGCTTCACTCCTTCTGGTGGAATGAGTGAGGAGACAGGAGTCCCCCCTCCATCCCCTGCCCCTGGACAATGTTCTTTAGCTTTCCTCCACCTTTTATTCCATTGGATTTAATGGCTCTTTTGTATCTTTTTTCTTGTTTGTTCTCATAAAAAAAAACAAGAAGCAAGCAAACTACTTCCTGACTTGACTAATTCTATTTCTCTCCCAGGTTCTTTTGAGCCACCACCTTTTACAACTTTCTCAGCTGTGTTGAGTGCCCCTTGGTTTGCCCAGCATAATTCTCTCACTACACTACTCCATCAAAATGATCTCTTTATGGATCTGCACTCCCTGCTAAACTCTAAGATTCTTGAGGGCAGGATGATGGCATCATCACGCTTTTTTCAACTGGACTTATAATAGGTTCCTAAGAAGTGTGTGTTGAACTAAATTCATGGCTCTCTTTAATGGAGCCAGACTGTTCGTCAGTGGGTGAAACAGTGGTTCACTTACTGCAATTTGTGGAGTATCTGGAAGACTTCCTCTCTATCCAAAAATAACTGATAAAATGAAATAATAAATATACGTAAAGTTTTTTTTATTGAATTTATTGGAGTGACATTGGTTAATAAAGTTATATAGGTTACAACTGTACAATTCTAAGGATAAATATACTTTCATCAATCCTATGGTTAGTATGCCATTAGTAAGCCCTGATCGGGTGGATAGCAATGTCAGTGTGAAATATCTTTCACTGAACAGTCGACGAGACTGTTTGCTCCAAGGACATGAAGTTTTGGTTGCGAGTGCACAGGCAGGCAGTGGTGTTCAGACTTCAGCGTGAATAAAGATTGCCCTGGGGGCATGTTAAAGCGTAGATTCCTGGGCTTCATGTGTGCGCTTTCCGGTTCATTTGGACTTGCAGGGGACCCAAGAATCTGTATTTTTAGAAAGCATCCCAACGGTTATAATGTAGCTGGTAGAAACCATACTTTGAGAAGTGTTTCCTCCTTTCTGAAGTAGAGGGTAAGAAGGCATCATTTTGAGACGTGGAGAGAACTGTCGTAGTCTGGGCCTGAACGGGGCTCTGTATGGGGGTCTGTAAAACTTGAACAGAGCACTGAAAAGGACAGTGGGCACCCAGAAATGCACAAATGGGGGATCCAGGGTGGCAGGGACTAGCGTATAGAGAGAGGCTTGAAGGACCAGTAATGATAACCTTGACTCATTTCATAATTTTTCTTAGGATTGGCCTTTCTTCTTCAATTAGAAAACTTAATAGCAATATGAATATTAAGTCTGATGATTAGGATATTTTAATCTACCTTTAGGAACTGACATTCAATAATTCAGTAGTTTTTAAAATAGTTCAGGCTCTCTGGATATTGAGCAGTTTAGGTATAGGATGATTTTTGACATTTGAAGCAATATCATACAATTCCATATAGTATTTCATTTCTGGCCCTATGATAACAAGAATTATGTAGCATATAGAAGATAGCAAACTGTGCCATATGGAAAAATAGAATTTAACTTCACAACTGTGAGAAAAGAAATAGATTTTCACTTAAAGGACATTTATAAATAATTTCTATCAAATCAGTAATCCAAGTCGTTAATGTTTTAAAATTTAGAAGCTGTTTAAAAATTTTTATGAAGATGTTACATACCCTTTAGTATGTCAAATAACAACCAGAGGTAGATAGATAGATCTAGACCATTAAAAAACTCCAAACTTTAAAAAATATATATACTTTTATTGATTTTTAGAGAGAGAGGAAGGGCGAGGGAGAGGGAGAGAAACATTGATGTGAGAGTGAAACACCGATGGCCTGCCTCCTGTGCGTCCCTCCCCATCCTGCCCCACTGGGGGTCAAGCCCACCACCAAACAACTGAGCCACATTGGCCAGGGCCAGACTTTTAATTTTAGCTTATTGTTTCAGCTCTCTCCCTCATTCAGCCTTATTCAGAGCTGTTAGCAAGGAACCATTTTGTTGGCTTGAGTTTTTTTCTTTTCACCATTTGGTGGCCAGTCTCTGGTGGGAATCCTGATGAGACCAAACCAGGCAAACAAGTGGGCCACTGGGCTGGAATGGGAGCAGAGGCGGTGGATATGGGGTGTCTATTGCTGTTCACCCAATCAGCTAAAATGTTTCCAGTGTAGCAGCCGTGCCACAAACGGGCTGGCACAAGACATTTGTCTCTCTTTCAGTCATTCTGCTTCCGCCGTCTGTATGAGTGTGCCATTTTGATTTTGTTCATTTGTTGGGAGAGATTTCCCTCCGGTTATCTGTGCTTTTGGAAGATAAATTACCTTGACTAGAGTAATAGAAGTTGAACTTTGGGAGAGCAATGCTGTTCTTACTGTGATTTGTATCTTGTTTTGAACTTCACTTAGTGAAAGACCTGTGCCCTCCACTGGCTCACGTTGAACTAAGTGTCTCTGCTGACCTGTGCTCTGTCCTAGGTGATTCGCAAGGGGTGGCTCACCATCAGCAACATCGGCATCATGAAAGGAGGCTCCAAGGGATACTGGTTCGTCCTTACTGCTGAAAGCCTGTCCTGGTATAAGGATGACGAGGTAAGCCGCAGAGGGCGACAGAGTTTTCTCATTTCAAGTTAATTGAGATTGTCATGATATTCAATTTTGAGACACTAGTGGTTCCTCGCTTGGGATGTATGTTTGAACAAGCACTGCCCCC